AGAAAAGGATGACAAAATAAGATAAAAATATAATTTCGTTCAGCTAACATTAAAGTGGCATATTCATTTGATTTCTTTTTGGATATAACTTCAGTATTCATCCTTAACTTGTAAAGATGGAGATATTTTATTTAAATCCCTTCTTAGTCTTAAATAACAGTTATGTTTACCTGCTTTTCATGCTAAAGCAGGAAAGCTGCCAGTTAGGTCACTGAGGTGTACCCATCATCAACAATACCGTATTTTAACATTTGTAAAATGCAGCATGCTCACCATGCAGGATTCATAGGGATAGGAACACAGATGCCTTGCTTGTTGTTCACTGATGTTGTGCACTGAATCAAGCCACAATATTGTAAATGATAGAAGCCTGCAATCTGTTTAATGGCTTCATTGGTAGTTTTGTAGAGCTGGTAGTGTGTTCTCCTATACAGCTAATGCTTACTAACACATTTGCTGTAAAAAATGCCGAGGTCTATTCCAGTACCCCTCTATGCTTTAGCTTGTGTTATACTGCTGGTTTTTGTTAATTTATTTTCTTATATACTAATATTGTCTTCTGGACAATGTACATGTTACCAAAAGTAATTTGCTGGCATGCATGTTAAATTTTTTCATATTTATTGTTTGCGTGTCTGCTAGGAGGCAATATTTAATCCTACACTGCAGGTTTAAGAAAAAGGGGATCTGTGGTTTGGTTACAGTCACACATTTATGGCTGTGCCAAGGCCTGTGAGTGCACACAGGCAGTTACATAGCCATAGCACAACAAAGACACTGACTGGTCAATTGCTGTAGCTTGTTAGCAAATTTTTAAAAGTACCCACATAACATCTTTAATATGGACACCTTTCTTTTACTTCTCATTGACTAAAATTCTGCTTTGTGCTCTTATTAATTGTGTCTGTTTGAAAAGAAATGCTGTCTTCTCGTGTTTAGCAACATTTGTGTGAATAATGTACTATTACTATCTTGTGTATAAAAAAGGAGAATTAATGAATCACAAGTGTAGACTTATCACACGGTATCAAATAAAATTATTTCACTTCATTTCATTCAATTATGACAGATTTTCATGTTTTTCTAAATGTTGGGATAGTCCCTGTGGTAAACCGTATTTATTATAGTTAACAGTTTATGGGGGAAAAAAGTTAAAAGTACAAAAATTCAGGAAGCAGTAATGAGTTCTAAAACTGAATCTCTCTAACTATCATCAAGAGCATCCAAAATAGAGGAACAATTTACACAAGAACACATACTTCAAAACTTAATTTGACAAAATAAAGAAGTTTTTTCTTTTATTGGTCTAATCGTAACAGTTGTATTTTTAAGACATCTTTTGGCACTTGTGAACATTATAGATGCTGGTTAGATTTAAAAACTAGACAAAATTATGCTTTTTTGCTAAATCTCAAATATAATTATGTTAATTATGTTTTAGCAAAAAAAGTATTCCAACCTGTCATAGGCATTTTAACCTTGAGAGGGTTTGGGTTATTTGGTTCATTTGAATGCTTTTAGATAATGGATCTATCCATGTGTTATACTCCAAGGTGTGTTACAACACGTTATTACACAGTACTGAGCTGTTGGATACCAGTATGTGTGTTACTGTGCTCCATAATATGTGGACTGAAACCACATTGGGCAATAACGTGCCACAACTATTACGAAAGAGGTGTGGCTAAGTGACATTGCACTGAGCAGTGTGGGCGACTTCTTTTAATGGCAGCTCCATTTAATTTTATACGGGCTAATGCCAAATGTTAATGTTTTGTCTTTGTGAATGAGTGAGTAGTTCATTTTAACACTGAAACCAGTAGCTCCTGACTACTCTTGTACATGCACATTTTGAGGGCACACCTGTCTGCCGGAAGTTTTGTGACGTCACAATTGCTCAGGTATTCTGTGCTGCAATCTTGTTCGACCGGACTGGCGATCGACACTGATATAATTTGCGCCTTGGAGACTTAAACCTCAGAGACCACCAGCACTGCAGACTAAGGCACACGAAGATTCAAGGATCTTACTTTTTTGAATAGTCTATAAGATGTCAAATATTTTACCAGACGAGACTGTATTTGCAGACTTCAAAAGACAGTGTTTATCCACAGAGTATTGGGTAAACAAATATGACAAAAACGGAATGCAGGTGTGGGTCGAGGTGCCCCCTCCAGCCATGACAAACAACAACGGGTCCAAAATCCACAAAATTAAGGTAGGTCTGGAGAAACTTGCTTGTAGTGATTTAGTTTAGTTATCTCAGTTTGCAGTAACATCTGAACTATTCATGTCTCTAGTGTAAAATGATAATCAAAGATGTATCTGCTGCCACTATGTATGACGTTATTCATGATGGAGAATACCGCAAGACATGGGACCTTACTATGAAGGAAAGTTTTGACATTGCACGTCTTTCTGCAAATGCTGACGTTGGCTACTTTTCATGTAAGAAAACCTGTTGACTCCGATACTTTCAAAATGTATCTCTGTTTTATTTATTGCCTACCATAGTGTTGTTAACATGCAGGTCTATATTGGAGCAATACTTTTACTTCATGTAATTGACCTAAGTATTGAATCAGATGTTATATTTACCTTTCTAACAACAACAAGAAACTTAAGCCTGATCTTGAACTAATGTGATCCTTTAGAAATAATGTCCATCCCTTAATTTGTGGTTGTAACACAATGAAACAGCCTATGAGTTACAAAGTAAAGTTTCTAAATGTATTATTATTATTATTATTATTATTATTTTTCCAGGGAAATGTCCAAAACCAATTAAAAACAGAGATGTGGTGTCGTTGCGTTCCTGGCAGGTGAATGATGACGAATACATAATTGTTAACTTCTCCGTAAAACATCCTGTAAGTTAAACTACATTATCCATGTACTACTCTTGACTTTCTTTTCTACGTTTCATATCATCATTCATTTTTTATTGTAATTGCAGAAGTATCCCCCTCGCAGTGACCTTGTGAGAGCCGTTTCTGTTCTAACAGGCTATTACATTAAGCCCCTGGGACCAAACAGTTGTACATTTTACTACCTCTCTCAAGCGGACCCTAAAGGTAGGTCTGCATGCTGCTGTTAGTAAAATAATACATATTTAATCCCCAGATATCTAGTCTAACCAAGTTTAGATGTAATAGCTATTGTATTGTATAATTTTTTTTTTTTTTCAGGTGCACTTCCAAAATGGGTGGTTAACAAGGCATCTCAAGTTCTAGCTCCCGACGTAAGTAACCTGTTTGAGTGTCAGCATAGCATTGTTCAAAACAGTTGCTTTAAGTTTAGCTCACTTACATTTAGACTGAAGTGTGAACTATATCGGTGCGTCAGACTAGTGAGGGTGTGACACTAGCGTAATGAATAAGTGTGTAATAGGTGTGTACTTTTAAAAGACTTTAGATCTATGTATTTAACAGGACAATGGTAACTATAGAAACCAAGTAGGCCTGTCTTGGTAAGACTGCTGACAAAGGACTGTCTCAGGTTCAACAGTTACTGTCTTCTGGTAAAACTTGTTCTCCAGGTCTCAAAACCTCACTCTGAAACTATTTTGAGTTATGTCCAAGGAGATAGATAGAAACTCTAGAATTTTCCACAAATAGTTTTGTAAAGTGTTCGTTAATCGCTTATGATGTGCAGTGTTGAGTGTAACTTAGTTAGTAATACTGTAAGTAAATTCCATTTTAAGTAACTTTGGAGTATAGTGTGTAATACTTGTTATTAGGAAAATACTTATCCATAGATATGACTCCTGCTGTTAGGTAGGCAGAGATAAGCATCTGCTGGTAGCTGTTTTGTGGAGATGTTTTTTTTTTTTTTTGGTGCAATGCTATTTGGGCCAGTTTAATCAACTCAAAGTATTTTAATGAATTACATTTTTAACAACTAGTAGTGAGTTATTAATTACTTTTTTAAACAAACTTCCCCAACACTGATGATGCGTTACAAGCATTATTTTCTCTCATGTCATCTGTACCTTTGTGATATGAAAATATGGGTGTGGTAGACTGTGATCTTCACTGTCAGATTACAGCTCTAATAAAGATCTTCGTTTGTTTTAGGTTATGAAGAATGTACATATTGCGGGACAGAAATATCCCGAGTGGAAAAACGAGAACTCTCCAGAAAAAAAACCCTGGCTCTATCCAGAACAGAACATTCTGCCCATGATGGACCCTGCTGAGCTGTCCATTCAGAGAGGTGACTCACTAGAAAACATAGATGAGGCTTTCATGAAGGATGCACACGAGAGACAAGACAGTCCTGTCAGGCCAAGTGTAGCATAAATTGAAAAAAGCAAGCACAAAGACTAATCTTTACGGTTGGTGACATACTAAAGAAGTATGCTTTAAAAGGTACAATCGTTTACAATGTTTTTCACAAGTTGAAAACGCCAGAACACCTCAGTCCATGTTGTTCCAAGCCAATGTGATTCAATTGTTTTCTATATTTATGTCCATTTTGACACTGAAATGTTTTACAACTGGTCTTACCTAAACCATTTTAACAGGTTTGATATTAGCTTTTTTGACAACATTTATATGATCATAAATTGTACTTAATGATTGTGTGAGCCTAACTTTCACCATTGAATGTTAAAATTACTTAACATTAGGTTTTTGCTTGTCAGGTCAAAAGTATGATAGCACACTGCTTGATTTTTATTGTGCCTACTTCTACAATGGTCTTAGTTTCCTGTTGTAAAGTTACAGTCTTTATATTTAAAGGTGTATTTATATTTTCAGAGTGGAAGTAATGCAATTTTTCAGGTTTAACTGGCAGCCTCAGATTTGCACTGACACTGAAGGAATGATCATATTGTGACCTATGTGGATGACTGCAATGGTGTATTGTGCAATGTACATACTTATTCCCTCAAAGACTATGTGTAATTGTTTGTACTATATTTTGTAATTTTCTGACATTCAGAAATAATAGTGTAAGACAGTAGTTCGAAGCTATGTTTGGGAACAGTATTGTCTTAAAAATGACTTTTTTTTTTGTTTTGTTTTCATTGACATTTGTCTTTTTTGTTACTGAAATACAGCCCTAAAATAAATGTCAGAACAAAGGCAAATCTACATTTTAGTTTTACTCGAGTTGTTCAACCAGATTAAAAGAAAAAATGTAAAACTCTCAAAAGGAACAGGTGAATGAGGAAAAAAAAAACATGGTGATGCAATATGAAACTGAAACAGATGGTTAGCTTAACTTATTGGCCAATTAATTTTTTGGCTTTCTGTTGGTTAAATCAACAATTTTGTGAACTGTGCAAGGCAAGTGTGAGTTTGGAATAGGCAAAAGAAATTGAAAAAGAAATTGCAAAAGGTTGAACACATCTATATCACACTATCTGTATTAATCTTTGTATCAAGTTTGTCAGAAAAGTACACCCTTACCAATAAATGCGATCTAGACAAAATGGCACTTTTTTATTATGAAAATGTACAGTTATATGCAATATATACACTACACAATATTACACAGCTCAACATAAAACCAACGTATTATTTGTAAAGAAATTTAATAAAACGCTATCCCCAATTTTTTACATACAGAAATTACATTTGTAAATATATGAACTACTGTTGTACCATATGTATTAATAATAGAATATTCAAACAGTGTGCATATTTGAGTCCAGCAGTGTTACAGGTCAAGGCTCCTTGATGTTACAGAGATCAAATGCCACATACTAGTGACTGTAGAGTAGTGTTTAGCATTTTGCCCCATAGACATTCAGAGACATGAATGAATATAATAATAAATGATACTTGAAAAGTAAATAACCGTGTTGCGTTAACTGATAGTGAAATGCTCAAGAACTGAATGCCATAGTTATCTTAAAAGGCTGCTATGATGTCTCTGGTGCCACCTAGTGTACAGTCCTCTCTTTCTGTCTTTGGTAATCTGACAAAAAAAACAAGAAAACATTTATAGAATTAAAATTTAACTACACAGTGTAGACAAATATTAGCATATTTTACCATTAATGACATATATTAACATAGCATGTTCCTAACACCAAATGGCACTTACTGTAAGGAAAGAAGCGAACCCTCATGAGGATTTCCCTTGCAGTCTTCAAAATCTCTACAGCCTATAGGTTTGAATAACTTTATTAGCTACATTTTCCACTGGATACTGAAAAACTGGACTCAAGTGACTTACCCGTGAATGTTCTATATCTTGAAAATCTACATCATTAACAGAAAGAACCTGATCCCCTTCTTGTAACCCTGCTCGGTGTGCATCAGAGTCAGGGACAACCTGTCAACAACATCAAACATGAGAGAGGAATCCTGCAAAGCTACAAAGATGTAGCACTATATTTCACCTTAGAAATAAATATCCCCAATTGTGAAGCCTTGCCTCCACGAATGTTGAAACCCAGTTGAGCTCCAGGGGGCTTCTTTAAGACAATTGTGCGAGGCAGAAACTGTGTCAGTTCATTGTTGTAGTCAGGATGATGGATCCTCTAAAAATAAAATGTATTAATGAAGTTTTCCGTGAAACAGTGAGTCACGGTTTGATTTGGCATTAAACACAAGTTAAAAGTTATAAAACAAGGATTTGGTCATCTACAATTTAAGCTTATGTAAAAACACAAATGAGTAGAGCAAATGATAAAGTGGCGTGAGACCTCGTGAGGCGGTATCCATGCTGGGGGGTTTTCATATGAAGGCAAAAACACCACTGGGAGCTGGTAGTCATCATAAGGAATCTTCTGATCCATTGCTGTATACCTTAAATATAAATTAAGTGAACACTTAAGCAGACTATATAAGGATTTTGCAAATGGCAACCTGGGGGCTTTATAATCGAAAGGTTTAATGATTAAATCTACACCCACAGATTACTACTTACCGTACTATATTTATGGTATTTACTGGTTGCAAATCGCTCAGCTCTACCTATATATTCATATTCAACACGTTTGTCCACCCACATGCATGATCTGCAGACTGGCAAACTAGCTGGCTATGTAATAAATGTGATAAATATATAGGCAGTGCTGTTTTTTCTTTATTTTAGGCTTGGCTAACGAAAGCGGAGCTAGTGTTAGCTTTTTCCCATTTGATCCCATGAACCATATTGCGACTGCGATGTTTTACCAAATGGTTCGCAATAACGTGTGTAACGCTAATATATTAAGTACGCAACTATTTGTTAGGATTAAAAGAAGCTGCTTACTCTGTTTCAGCTGGTTTTGAGACGATGTCAACAAAACAACCACCTCTCCACAGCTCAGACCATGGGCAGAGCTGAAGATTCAGTCTGCCACCTAGTGTCTGGGGTGCGAACGACAAACATACGGCGCTCACTGGATTATGACGGCCTTTTCTACAACAAATGGGCCTAAAGTGACTGACGTTTTATATAGGCTAAATGTAAAAATTAACAAAGGCTATAGTTGTCTACAGGTCAAGTTATGGCAACCGCTTTCCGTAGTCATAGCAATTAGGAAATTTAAATCAAATCCAGTCCAATCCACTTTATTTATATAGCCCATCCATCTATTTTCTTCTGCTTATCCGGGACCGGGTCGCGGGGGCAGAAGTCTAAGCAGGGATTCCCAGACTTCCTTCACTCTGGACACTTGCTCTAGCTCCTCCGGGGGGACCCCAAGGTGTTCCCAGGCCAGCCGGGAGACATAGTCCCTCCAGCGTGTCCTGGCTCTTTCCCGGGACCTTGTCTCAGTGGGAAATGCCCAGAACACACAGGGATCTGGAACAGATACCCGAGCCACTTCAGCTGACTCCTCTCGACGTGGAGGAGCAGCAGCTCTACTCCAAGCCCCTCCCGTGTGACTGAGGTCCTCACCCTGTCTCTGAGGGTGCGCCCAGCCACCCTGCGGAGTAAACTAATTTCTGCCGCTTGTATCCGCCATCTTGTCCTTTTGGTCATTACACAGAGCTCATGACCATACACTGAAAAAATTGTCAGAGAGGGGTTGCTCAAATTGCAAAAACAAATTTGACAACAATAACATCACTTTTTTACGTTTCTCTGTCAAGCATGTTTAAATCTTACAAACATCGCTTGATTGTGGCCGATGTTAGATCTGCATGTTTTAATCAGGTTGAGGACGCATGACTTTATTATAATCTCTTGTGAGGCTCCTCCCTCTGGAATCCTCCTCCCCAAAACTTTTGGAGGGAAAATTCAAATGTAACAGGACACAGGACAGTTCCAGGAGCAGAGGACACACAGTGTGGAGCAGGAGGATTATGAAAGAGAGCTGATCTGGAGGTAAGACTTTTCAAAGATTTTATTATGTGCTTCTCCGGCCTAGAATGTCGTCATTGTTAAAACATGTTTTATTTGAAATTAGAATTAATGTAAGGACAGCTTGAAACAAATTGTCTTTGACTGTCCATCTACAAGAGTGTGACAGTTGTACTAAGATTTAAATGTGTTTGTTCCAGAGTCGTCTACAAAAAAAGAGTGATGTCCAGAGCTCTGCTGGAGCTGTGGGGAAGTTCATGAATGTTATATCTAATGTTTCAGAAAAAAGGAAGATGTTTGAGAACCAACAAACCACAGACCACAGATGAACAAAGTAAGTAAACCAACTAAAATTATTTTAAAATTTTTCAAAATGAACTTCCTATTGAAACTGTTATCGTGCTTGTACAAGGTGATGTGGCATTAGGAGACTTTATACCAGTTGCCCTCCCTGTTACTGTGTTTAGAGGAAGAAAAGCAGCACATGGTGAGTTTTGTTTCTGCAGATACAGTTCTAATGTTCTTGTGATTCTGTTCTGGTCCATTATTGTAGTAATAAGTGCTATAAATGTATTTAAACATGTACAACAGAGTAGATCATCGGAATGTGATCATCATGTGTTATTCCTGTGTCCACAGAGACCAGAGCTTCTTCACTGGAATAAATCTTCACACTGTCCAGCTCCAAACTGTGTGTCTCTGTACTTGTGCTCTCTGTGTGTTTGATTCTGTTTAAGACAATACAGAACTGTGGAAAACTAAAGACTGTTTTTGTATTATTTTACAGTATTAGATCAATTAAATTAAATTATACATACTTACATACATTTCACGATAAGGTAACATAAGATAAATATGCATATTCAGCATGATTTGTTCAAATTTCATCAACATGAAAAAGTGATCTTCATGTTCCGAGAAAAATATGTGTAGAGGGGATCGAAAAAAGTTTCAAAGCCTAAACATAATTTTATTGCATGCAACCGCTTTCCATAACTTTTTTACGCAAATCCAGCAACCTTTTTTTTCAGTGTAGGTGAGGATAGGAATGTAGATTGATCGGTAAATCAAGAGATTTGCCTTTTGGCTCCCTCTTCACCACAACGGATCGATAGAGCGACTGCATCACTGCAGACACTGCACCGATCCACCTGCCAATCTCATGCCCTATCCTCCCCTCACTCATGAACAAGACCCTGAGATACTTGAACTCCTCCACTTGAAGCAGGGATTCTCCACCCATCCAGAGAAGGCAAGCCACGTTTTTCCGGTTGAGATCCATGGCCTCGAATTTGGAGGAGCTGATCTTCATCCCAACCACTTCACACTCAACTGCAAACTGCCCCAGTGCACATTACAGGTCCTGGCCTGATGGAGCCAACAGGACAACATCATCCGCAAACAACAGAGATGAGATCCTGTGGTCCCCAAACCGGACCCCCTCCGGCCCCTTGGCAAGGCAAGGCAAGGCAAGTTTATTTGTATAGCACAATTCGTACACAAAGTAATTCAAAGTGCTTTACAGAATAAGAAATATATTAAAATCATAATAAAAACAAATCAAAACATAAATAATCATGAAGATTAAAATTTAAAAAAGAGAGACATAAATTGGAGAGAAGAGTGCGGAATGAAAACCTTTCAGTCATATGCACAGTTAAACAGAAATGTTTTGAGCCTGGATTTAAACAGCGTCACAGAAGAGTCTGTCTCACATGTTCAGGAAGACTGTTCCAGGTTTTAGCTGCATGAACCTGAAACGCTGACTCCCCTTGTTTAGTTCTGACTCTGGGCACCAGCAGGAGGCCGGGCCCTGAGGTCCTCAGAGTGCGAGAAAGAAAGTCCATAAATCCAATGAACAGAACCGGTGACAAAGGGCAGCCCTGGAGGAGTCCAACACGCACCAGGAACATGTCTGTCTTACTACAGGCAATGCGATCACAGCTCCAGACTGACCAGACAGGCCTTAGCAAAGGGCAAAGAACCCCATACTCCTGTCTTCAAACCGGGAGTATGAGGTCACCAGACACTTGATGTCAAGTACTCTGTCCAGGCCTGGCTCCAGGGTGGGCCCCAGTACCGCCAATCCAGGTGATATCACTGGCCTCTGAGTGTTGCTCATCATAGGGGCTTCTGAACTGTTCTTAGTCTGGCACGTTTACCCGAACCTGTTTCCATAAACAGTTTCCAAAGCACTGCACAAATATATAATAATAACAGTAATAATAATAATATAATAAAATAAACGTTCAGATTTAATCATACTAGTCTTAAAATAATAAAACCAGTAAAATAAAATAAAAGCAAAAACATAAAATAGCAATAAATAAAGAACATCAATAAAATAAATTAAAAATACATAAAAGACACAGAGGACCACACAACTCACGCAGTGTTAAAAGCCAGAGAATAATAAAAAAATATTATATATTTTAATGGAGAAAAGGCCTCACCGGGTCCTTACAAAGTCCTTCAAATCAGGAAGGAATGGTTTGTCTGAAAACCATGAATAGACCGTAAAATAGGGAAAATAGCTAGCCTATTTGGACACATCCATCATCCACTGTTATTTGAATATCTGTTAACATATTAATTTCCGTTTTAAATCTAAAAAATAAGACGACGCAGTAAGCATTAGTGACTTTCGGTTGCCTGTATGGAGACAGCACAACCTGGTTTGTTCATTTTGGAGCCGAGTCAATAAATTAGACTGCAACTTTCACTACGCTTAGCCCCTCCTCTTCAAATCTGGTGAAACCCTGGTTGACACCCCTTTATTCAAGTAGCCATTCATGTGATCCATTCGCATTCAACACACAAACCCCAATGAATAACAGGGAGACGCAACAAGCGAGAATAACTGAGTGCCTCCCACAGCCACCGGGTTCTGTTTCCACCAGAAGTTACGGGCTGATATTATATCAGGTAGGCTACATTCTGATAGTTTCATTCATCAGTTTCTCCGCCTGTTAGATGTGGTCTAGTTAGTTCTTATCTTTCATCAGTTGTTATTAAGTCCTCATAATAGCATCATGTCAAAGAAAAGACTTTAGCGCTTTTTTGGTGACTAGTCAAATAGGTCTTATTGTGAAAAAGAAAAAGTTTGTAACATCTTTTGTTAACCGAAGTTCCTTTTTAATTCATTCTACAGCTTTGGTGAATTTGTAGATACACGTCTGGTAACAAACAGTGGTGCTTTTCAAACAGTGACACTTAATTTTGTTCCAGATAACTTTTATGTAGACCTACTTATAGCCTTGCCTTGTATCAGTTTGTTAACTGTTTGAAGGCTAATGCCAGAATTTATCTTTACTTGTAATTAACAAGGAAAAAAGTTTAAAGTAGCCTACAAAGAAATAAAAATAAAAATCATAAAAATCAAATAGTTACCCTCTGGCAATGGCCCAGAGGGAAATCAGGTAATGTTGGCTGTCTTTCCTCTAACAGAAACTTTTATTGCTCAATGCTTGGCATGTGGGGGTGAGAAAAAATGCAGGTAAAATCCACTTGTCTCTAATGCATCACTGCGACATCTGGTGACATTCTCCAAACTCCCTGCCTCAGCTTGTTCAGATGCATCATGCTGTGACAAGAAGTTACAAAACCTTTCTTATCATCATCACTAACATGTCTCAGTACAGTCTGTCAGTAAAAGTTGTAACTGTTTTGTTTTTTTTGTTTTTTTCCCTGAATGAGGAGATGTGCCTGTCACTGGCTCTGTGAACAGCCAGTCCGTGCTCTGCTCTGTGTGTCCCATGCCTCACACCATTGTTTGTGTTACCAGTGCCTATGTCCACTCCCCCATCCATTACATGCACAAGGCTCTATTGATAGGCGTATTATTGACCAGGGATTGCCTAAATACCCATACATTTTACTTACCTGATGCTAATTTCTTTCTTTTCATAGGTTTGGGGGACAATTTAAACCACTTAAGTGTTCCACCTCCGTGTTTTAAGTATCCAGCATTCACTTTGGGGTCACAATCGGCCAGCACACTTACACTCATGAGGTGATGTCGAACTGCAAAAGTTTTTGTGTAGTCTGCACCAGAACCCTGTACAGCTGCCATTGGGCAAAGCCACAAGAAACAACTAGAAGCAAACAAGTTAGTATCATTTATTATAATTTTCAAATTCATTGTTCTCTTAAGTAGTTGCAAATTCCTGAGATTAACATACCAGTAGTCATAATCTGATTTGTCATGTCACTTTGGATTATTCTCTCAAAATGATCTGGCAGTCGAGAAAACCCTCTATATAAAGTCGTGATTGAAATGTTGATATTCTTGTTTGTGGTTAAATAAACAAACTTGCAAGCCCAGACAAGTATTACAACACTTTTCAGTAGGGGGTGGATTTTAGATTGGCCCGCATGAGTGTGTTAGTTATGGAACAGTTGTGTATGCCACAATAAAAATTATAAATCTATTTCCCTGGTCTAATTTATATTATGTTATTGTATTATAGAAAGCATGTCTGTGGTTCACTATTGTTGCAGTGGTCACTGCATTAGCTATCACCTGGATGTACATCTGTCTGGTCAGTTATAATGATCAAGAAGATGTCAACTGGTAAGTAAACACAGAAACTAAATTATATACTTTTTGGATATGATTTAATGACCTGTACAATGGCCTCCATTGTTCTGGTAACAGGAAATTTTTCACAGCACTGAAGTTGTGGATTAACTGGTTCATGGTACTGATCATTCTTTCTGCATTGTTAAGTGCCTATTGTGTCTTCCTGCTGGTGAGAATTAATACTAGTGTTATAGTAGTAAATACTAAATACATTTGTGATTGTTTATAAATGTTGCTTTGTTGCAGTGTTTTGCATTGATCCAAGTTGCCTTAAAAGAACCATTAGATCTACACTGGAGCCACAAGGTTTGGATAAAGTGCCTCATTTATTTACCGGTACTTTGTTTTTAAATCAATGTTGTTATATTTTGATTTTTGTTTTAAGATTTTGCTCTTCGGTGGAATTTTATTAATTGCCGCTGGGGTTACAGGCATCAGTTTTATGTGGCAACAGGAATGGCTGACTGTTCAGCTCTCATTAGAGGTAGATCATATTATAGACTGTGTAGTTTTTAAATTCCTTTGAAATAATGGTTTGCTTTTTGTGAAAGGCTACAGCCCCCTTTTTACAGTTTGGTGCCGTTGGGGCTTTGACACTCATGAGTAAACTTGTTTTTCAAGCAATCTTCACCACTGGTAAAAAATGTAAGTAAACTCAGCTATAGTTCAAAAGAGTTACACATTCTAACTACTGTAACTTTTTCAGACATTTTTTTAAAATTTGGTTAGTAATAATAAATGTTTTTTGTTTGTGTTTTGTTTTATTGATCAGAGATGTTAATAAGATACATAAAGTCAGTTGTTAATAAATTATCTTTTTTTTCCTTCAGTTTCTAGATATATCATTGGTACAGCATTTGCTGTGGTGTCCATAGCAATCTTTCTATCACCCTTGGGTATCCGATCTCCTTGTTTCATAGAGAAGCAACACTTACCTGCCAAACCAAAGCTGATAGGGCATCGAGGGGCACCCATGGTGAGAAATACCTGCGTTGTCATGATGGAAATTCTCTATGGCAACGTTTTCGAAATATGCTTATAATTGCTGCCACAAAAAAAAAAAAAAACTTTAAGCAAATGCTGAAACATATAACATTTAACATAAAACATAATTTTGTAGCCTACTTTATAGATGGTATTTAAATTATTGTACTGCTAAAAAAAGGAATCAGGAATAGTAAGAAGAAGTAAGAAGTAGCTAAAAACCTTCCGTTATGTCTTCATGCATCTTCAGCCTCATATTATAGTATTGTTTTTATATTACTATATGATTGACAATAGTGCATTATTTTGCCTTAATGTTTTTTTGTTTTTAGCTGGCCCCAGAAAACACCATTATGTCATTTAATCGCAGCATATCATGTGGAGTAACAGCCTTTGAGACAGATATACAGCTCAGGTACATTCACTTTTTTGTCTACATTACTTTTTATATTACTAAATAATTCTGCATGTAATATAAACACAGTAAGGACGATATACCTTTTCTGATGCATGACCACCACTCCAACTTTCTCCTGAGAACGACAGATGCTACATACAAATTTCCAAACAAAAATTTGAAAAGGAGTACAAGTCTGACATGGGCTGAGTATCAGAGTCTAAACGCAGGTGAATGGTTTGTCCAGGTGAGAACTTTGCTGCACATCTTTGCTACATAACTGTGTGAAATTTAAAATAACACTCCAATGTTTTTGATGCAGACAGACCCCTTTAGAACAGTTTCACAGCTCTCTGAGGATGAGAAGGTACTGGCCAAAAATCAGACAATCCCCTCTTTACTACAACTCCTCAACTTGGCTCAGCAGCACAACATCTCTGTAATGTTTGATTTGTATAGTCCCAACGAAGAAAATGACACAGTGAAAACAGTGGAAACCATTGAGCTCTCTGGCATTAACCACAGTCTAGTAAGTCATGTTTAGATCAAAGTACAACTAAACTAATTTGTTATCATTAACGAGTTATGTTTTTACAGATCCTCTGGCTTCCCCCAACAAAAAGAGACTATGTCCGTGCTAGAGCCCCAAGATTCACCCAGGTCTATAACAATATAGACGAAATGAAAGGCAAAAAAGGAAACCATTTGAACCTAAAATACAGCAAGATTAGTACAACAGAAATCAGGTAACATAAACCTTTAAAAGCCAAATTTTCTGTATGCATTAGTGCTACTGGGTAGACACTTTTGTTGTTTAGACTCTCTGCAGCATGTTGAGGCAGGCTCTCACTACAGACCTGCAGTTTCTGGGGCCTTGAGCAGTCATTTTCTCACATTCAGCAAACCAGATTGAAAACACCAGAGTGGGTACGGCTGAGTGCACAAACTTAAAACGTGCAATGAAGAGCATTGTGGGAGCATGCAAGAATTTAGTATAATTTAGGACACTAACATTCTCACTGTAAATTTACTTGTACCATTGTGTCTGACAGAGAACTTCGAAAGAGCAAAACTGAAGTGAATTTATGGGTCGTCAATGAGAGGTGGCTTTTCTCGCTGCTGTGGTGTGCAGGAGCTAGCTCCGTTACTACCAATTCCTGTCACATATTGAAGGATATAGAGAGTCCGGATTGGATCATAGTAAGAAAACTTTGGTTTAACAAAAGTGAAACACTGTGAAAACAAAAGTGAAATCTGAGCATGAATGTCAATATGTATATACAAGTTTTAATAGCACATATGACAAGAAAGTACCTGACCCTGTGTTGCAGTCATATCGCTTGTACAAAACAATATGGCTTTCTGTGGACATTGCATCAGTTCTGATAATGGCGGGGCTCTTTGTCTATCAATGGTAAGATATTTACTTGACAATATGCTGTATTTGTTTGATAAAGAAAAAAAAAAAACTTCAACACTAGAATATATTAGAATGATATGTATGCTTTTGCAACAGGAGAAAAAGAAAATTCTGTCATAGGCCAGGTATGGTATAGGTATAAGGAAAAAATTAATAGGCTGTAAAACTAAACTCTCATGCAACATCCACTAACAAAACAAAAAAAAATCCCACATTGACTAGTTATAGGATAATTATAGGCCTACTTTATTTGGCCTAGATTATTTGTAAATTAACATTCTAATCAACTGACATCATCAACCTGACACTTACATTTTATTGAATAAAATTTTTGTGAATAATGAAGTTAAAGTAGCCTAGTTACTCTAAATGCTATACACTAAACTTGACATCTGATTTTAAGGTATGAGAACCAGAAGAAGCTCATTGAGCTGGAACGAGAAAGAACTGTTCCCCTTCTTACCAATAAGCAGATAGTTTGATGATGATGACCCCCCACCAACAACTCTACATCACTAACCATTGGCACCTCTTCTTCTGATCAGACATCAGACTGTGTAATTTATGTTGGTACTGAATGGCTGAGTGTGTATTAGTTTATTAGTAGTTCATTTGTTATGCCACTGCACAGCATATCTTTTGTTGCTGTAGCATTTTACCTTAGTACATATAAATGTACTAGTGACAGTTTTGTGTGTATTTCCTGTTTACTGAGCCACAATAAAACATAACATTTGTGTTTACTGAGCCATAATAAATCTAAAAAGAATAACTAAAACTGGGACTCTGTCTAGTTCTTGTACTTCTTTGATCCACCAGTAGATGGACACATAGGCTAAACTCAGATGTAGAAGAGCCGTGTCAAAAATAAAACTTAATGTGCTGTTTTAATTATAGATTAGCGCGCTGATCTCATCATGTATAGCGGACACATAATAGGCAAAAAATTATGTTCAGCAACGGTAGTGTTTTCATTAATAAGGGCTGTGTTGTTTGTGAAGGCGAGGCATCTGTAAAGGGAGGGGAGTTTTACACGCACTCGCTGACAGTCTTTCCCAAACTTACTTGTTGCTCATGAACTCTTCTCACTCTTCTCACATTTGAACTTTGAGTCTATTTTATACAATCGTCTGTAGTCCTCGCTTTGCCGTGTGCTCTGTGCAATATTTAGAGTTCGTTTTCGTCCATCTGAAAGATTTCCTAGCTGAACTTGACTGCAGCATGGTTCATAAGTATGGTAAGTACCGTTAGCTTGACTCTGCATCAGTGCTCACGTGTCAAGTTTGTTTGTTATTATCATAGACTGCATAGACACACAGTACGTCCCGTTGATATACTTCAGGTATATGTCAAGTGATCATCATAAATTAGCCAATATGTATTTCGGAGCTGTTTGGGAGAGTGTGGCTGTTTTGCTTGTTCCTATAAGTTAATATCACTAGTGTGTTGACAGACACGGACCGAGCAGTGGGTCTGCTCAGACAGTACCAGGCCAATCTCACCGATCCAGACGAGCAGTTGCTTAAGACCAGCGTGGCCAAAGTCTCTGCTGTTTTGGGCAGCCAACTTTTTAAAGCACTTCTAGGTAAGAAAACCGCTACGTTTTTGTATGATGTTATTATCAAGTTACACCCCATGATAGTGGGTTATTCGGTATTATGGTATTGCCCCAACTTTCAGATTTCTTGTGATTCTTGGTTGTGTTAGTAATGCCAGCAAGGTCATGTTATATTAATTTGATGGGAGGCAAACTCAGTCTAAATATTTCCCAATTAGTGTTATGAAAGAGGCCTTTCAGCAGATCCCACAAAGGTTTGCTGTATACAGCCTGGCCAATGGCATAATTTTATTGTAAGGAAAACCACATAAAGGAGAACACATGAAACAGCTTTTTAAGTATTTAGTTTCACTGCATACATTATTACAATAACTGAATAAAAATGTTAACTTTTTTATCTTTGTCTAATAAGATTTTCCAAACAAATACCTACATTTAGACGCTGAACTCAGTTTCTGTTTCTTGAGTTTACTCATTGCTTGAGTGGTCCCTCTAATTATCACATCATGTTGTGGAGCATGCCTGTGGCTCTGCTCTTACTCCTGCTGACCCACTGCTGACTCTGCTGGGAATCTGAAGGAGGGGCTGCCCTGCTTCACACTCATTAAAACACATCTTTATTTGGACATTTCTATTTTCATTGTGCTTAGTCCTAATAATAATAGTTTACATGTACACATTTAAGTGTATTGAATATACAATGTATGAACATAATTCCTTTTGCTTAAAATATGTGATGGCATAATTCATTTTCGTAGACATGAAGGCCTATTGTCATTAGTTCATGTGGTCTCACAATGCTACTACTTAGGGTAAGTTTGTTGTGCTTGTCTTCTTGTGCATATTAAGGGCGCTTGAACTAAACAGATGGTTGTGATCATAATAATGAACATGGGCCTTTGAGATGTAGGCTTACTTATTGCTAGTGTACAACATAATTAGTACAGTACTCTTTTACTCTTCTGGTTTCTTGTCAAGCATTTAACTTACTCAAAGATTCTTTACTTTGCATAATTTATTTATTCTGCACCTGGTGATGGTTAGCTACTTCTGTAGTCACAGCTGCCCTTGGTTAAACTGACAGCAGTTAGGGTGCCAATTTGTACACCAAGCCCTAACACAATTTGGGCTATTGGTCCCTCTGACCACCATCAATCATGAACACACACTACATTCATACATAGTAAAATAGACTAATGGTGGATTAGGTCTCCAAATCAGGATTCCATGCATTCCTTTTAAAGAATGTTCAATCATGGCCAGCTTGGGAAAATAAACTGTTTTTGGTTTTGGACTGTGGAGTTGCAAAAGGGAAAACACAAACCCTGCTTTTGCAAGGCTCTATGTACTTATTGACCAAAAATGCACTTTTTCCAAGAAGTTTTCATTTCACAGTGCAAAAACTTATGAAATATTACTGTACTTGATGCACTGTAGATAGTAAAGGAGCATCGGATATAGTGTAGGACATTCCCGTTTGGGCCACTTGATTGGATGTGCACATGGTTGGACAGTCACGGACAATGCTTCCCTAAAACAGGCCATCCACCCTTTTGTTCTGACATACAGGCTTTGGCCTACACTGGGGGACCTATACAGAAAAACACATGATCACTGTTTTATTTGGTCTCCAAAGCCTTTTCATACCTTTGTGTTAGCCGTGTGTTGTTGCTTATAACCATTCTGAGAACCAGGGGGTACGTATTCTTTGGATGATTCACCGATTCCTGTCATAGCAGTCTGAATTCCTTATGAATGCACTGTGTATGGTATCTCTTACAATGCTTATTTTCAGAGGTATATGTATTTATATTTCCTCGTTTGGTCCTGTTTGAGCCCAGTTTAGGCCTGATGTACTCCTATACTAGTTCAGTCACAATTTGATGTGCTGTGTGTGCAAGCATTAACGGACCTTAATATAGTTCAGCCTAGGAGTTCAACACAAGCACACATTGATACTTAGCTTTCCCTGATGCATAAAACCATGTGTTCTTATAACCAAAATGCTAAAACAGACCATCAGTTGATCAGACAGGTAGCCTCATAGATAACATGCACATAAGAGTTTGTATAAGTGAGCTTGCTCTTTAGTCAGCTGGGCAACCAACTCGTCTTCCCACACACAGCTTCACTCCTCCACATTCAGATCCAGGATGAGTCAAATGCTCCATTCTTACACTTTTGTTCTCGCTGTGTCGTGTTGGGACATACTGTCTCTTATTGCTGGTTGTCTAATAGCACACAGTGTTGAAGAAATCTGCTGTCAGTGTTTAAAATGTATCAGGTATGTGCTAATGTTGGTATCACACCTAGGGTTGACTCCAGCAGCCTCAACATGTCAGTGTGTGGTAAACAAGTGGCTTTGTTATGCTGTATTTAAGTGTCTGAAAAATCAACTATTACGCTTTTATACTTATACTGTTAATTACTTAAAATGTGATGTGAACAATAAATTGTTATAGCCAACTTGTAAAACTTTTGATAGTCTTTCATTTGAATGTTCCCTCCTAAAAGATAGAAATTTGAAGAACATGAACGGAGCAGGTTGAACATATTAAAGTTTTCCTTAGTAATTTATATAAAAAAAATAAATAAACAAATAGAAATGGCTAACAGTTTGTTTTCAGAGCTGTGCTGTTTTTTGATTCGTTCAGTCTTAGGATGTGGAACTGGCCTCAGATGTACAGACAACCTCCACCTCCTCTTCTTTACCCCTGGGAGAAGTTGCTCCTGATCTGCTCATGACTGCATTTATTATACTTCAGCAGTAAAAAAAAAGTACCACCAACATTTATATATTGCATTGGCTTAACATTGTTGTTTCTGTTCTCACAGATATTCAGGAGTGTTACGAGGTGACCTTGCAGCTGAATGCAGAACAAACTGTTGTGAAAGAGGCAAACCGGCAGTATGCGTGGGAGGTAATTCTCCTTTAATATTATAAGTTAAGTACAAATGTGGTAAATATTTACATGCAAGGTGATACAGCAAAATAGGACGTAATAAGGTCTGAAGGGTTTTGTCCCTACATTATCCTCCACCATAACTATTGGTGTTTGTTTAATCATTTTTAATTAGAGTCACCCTTATTAAGACTCAGATGAAATGTTATGATAGTTTGTGAAACCTAACTGATGACTCCTGGTGCTTTTGTTACTTCATATTGGACTCATTGGGTGCATAACCTTTGTTATACTGTACATAGTAACTAGACCTGTTCAACAAGTGGCAAAATGTGACTCTATTTGTTCCATCAATCTAATTTCAGAATTTGATTTTGGACTCATTCTATTTGCTAGAAAACTCAAGACACAAGGGGTATTTGTGTCCTGAGTTTTCTACCAATCTGTCTGATTTTTACACTGAAATTTCATGGTGTCTTTCAACATTAGCATTTGAATTCTGCTGCCTTTAAATTTGTGTTGGCACATAGCTGTTGCTCAATGTAACATCTAAGCAATGGTTTTATATTAAAAATTTAGAACTATAGAACTGTACTGAAGTATCTAAAAGTTTAGTTTTGAGAAGATTATCCAGGAACAGTAACTTGAATAATGTCTATGGGACCTTGGAAATGCACAAAAATAGTTATTGTTAAGTCACATGAAATGAATTATTATCAGAACAGTTGACAAAGCAATTGACAATGTATAATAAATTAAACCAACCATGTGATATCTTATGAGTTGTGATAAGCCCTGTGATAAGTCCAGAAAGCAGAAATCCATTAATATAATGTGCACTGGATTCACTCTGGTGGCAAAGTTGACCAGAACTGCAAGACAGACAATTCTTTGTTGGAAATGTTTTGATCTACAATTTAAAGGTGATGGACTACTTTAATCTTATAATGCATGCTGTCCCGACCCTCACTACACCCAATCGCCTAATGGAAGGGCATTTTAAACACCCATGTTCTAAGTTTGGACTGGATTATGCACGGCTTTTTGAACAGGGTCAAATATAAACTTCTACAGCGACAACCTCACAACATTTCTGTGCTCTGCTCTGCCCATCTGGTTTCCAGCTGCACTAAGGACAGATGGAGAGGTGCTTAATGGACACCCAGCGTTGTACTCATCAGTATTCTGGCCATGCTGTCATCTTCATGGAGGATGGGAGGGAAACAAATGAGTCTGCACATTCCCTGATTTGGTGCAAAGTAACAGTTGAAAGGTAGCAGCTCCAATTGAGAACATAGATTAATCAAGCTCTTGTATAAGGGCAAGTAAGGATGAAGGACACACTCACTATGTCTTAGACTTATGTAAATACTGAAGGCCATCACCAAGACAATCTTCAAGTTTAGGGATAAATGGTAATGCACTGACCACAAAGTAAAGAGCTCACTCGACATCTAAACAAATCCATAAACAACTAACCTACAAAGCACCTCTTTGAGAGAGGGCTGTGTAATTAATTAAATGTTAATCAAGATCATGATTCAGTCATTTCCTATTACATTATTACATTATTTTCTGTGCTAAATGGCATTGATTAAAAGTAGATAGATAGATTGGTATATAATTTATCCCAAAGGAAACAAAGTTTTCAACAAATGACTTCCAGAGTCTGTCCATAGAGCAGGACAGAGACAACAACCTCTCCCCAAAGGTGCTCTCCTGTCTGGTGATGGTGCTAGTATGTATTGCTTATATTCAGGAAATTATTTTTGCCATTTTTTGCCGTCTCTTTAAAAAGACAAAATTAAATAAGTTGTGATTTCTATTTGAGAACAGAAATGCATTAATTATTTTTGGCATATTGCCCAGCCCTATTTTGGTTAAGTGTTCTATTAGTAAATGTGCTCAAAAGTATTCTTCTCATCTCCATGAATGTACATAGGAACTGTTATAAATATCAAATCTAACATTCCTTCTATAATGTTAAACACCCTTATTGTCAGATGTTTTTTTTTTTTTTTTTTCAGAAAGTTTGTCAGAGCCTCATCTAAAGGCTGCCCTCTGCTGTCAGTCAAGTGTCTATGTATGTTCTGTAGTTTGCTCGGGAGTGTGACATTCTTTAGTAATGTGGTACATTATTATTAGATCATTAGATGACTTACCTATTTTCCCATCTTCTTTGATACATTTTCCTTATCTCTTCTCTTTAAACAAATTTTGTTCTCTTGGAATTTTCTTATCTTGTCACTGCAAACAGGAGCTTCTGTGGTTTTACCAAGGTAATGGACTGTGATGTATTTGTTTTTGGCTTGCAGATTTTAGTGCTTCGTGAAAAAGCATGAGGAGTGGGACTCAAACTCATGACACCCAGGCAGAGTGTTACCAGGTTTTTCTATCTAAGGATGACCCTAGTTTATGTTTACTCCACAGGATGGGGCAGAGGAAGAGGAGGGTGTATCTATGGTGCAAGTGACCAGCAGAAGGAGTCCTCATAAAGTTGAGCGAGTGTCAGGCCTTGTGACGCTGTCCACAGTGGATATGCCAGAGGTATGGCACTTTTTGGTTTAAAAAAAAAAAATAGTAGTGATAATACATTTATCTCTTTTTACTACATTTGTCAGTAATATACCACTGAAATTATGCTCCCCTTCTTGTCCAATATTTACTTTGCTGTTTAATGTACTAGCATAAATACATACCACAAGCCCCTTAAGAAGTCATTATTAGGTACCAAATTCAGAGATCTCGTCTGACTCCCATTAATTTTATATAGACACTTATTGAACAAATGTAAAGTGAGGAGGAGGATGTTGTGATAATAGACAAAGATGAGCTGACAAATGTTGATTGATTGTCAACTGAAACGGTGCCTCCAATCCAACAGAGGCAGATGAAAGTGTTTGTGAATGTATACTTAAAAATCAAGATTAACACAATGGTGAATGCTAGAAAAATAAAATATTGTCATTACTACTTTAATTGCTCACAAGCAACTCATTACTGCCTACCACAGGCTTGGAAGAGGTATTGCTAGTGTAAAGACCCCTATATCTTACTCTTAAGTTTAACCATCTCTAAAGACTTGGTAAATTCTAGATGGCATGTCAGGCCTTTGTTTTATAATTTCATATGTATATTATTTTCTCTTGTGTCATTGCATTAGTGTGATGCTTTGATTCAAAACGATGCTACAGAAGCAACAAAGTGTACCTCATGTTTGGACATAACTGTGTATTGTTGAAGGCCATGCTCTGACTTCCATTTTCACACTGCCAACACATGGCAGCCCTTTGCCTGCAGGCGTTGGCTTTTCACACAAGATCCCCTGCTACTGAAGAGGGGTTTGGGACGGTGTTCCAAAGGAGACATAAAACTCTATGATAATGAAGGTGTGAGAATATGGTGAGGCTACATGGGAAGATAGCACACTGCTGATTTGTGTGTCTCTTTCACTTGAAGAAAGCTGGCATTATGACGAGGAGGAGAGTGGGGGTGTGGAGTGGAGCATACAGTGGGGGAGGCTACAGAGAGGCGAGGGCCGGTGCAGTGCAGAGCTCGAGCGGACACACACAGCTCAGCCTTCCTGCAGGTTACCATGGAAACACATTCCTCCCCCGCCTGCATCCCTACAGACTATCTCTCTCTCTTTGGGCTCCTTTCTCACTTTTTTATCCTGTCCTTTTCATTCCTCTTTTAATTTATGTTTTTTATTCCTTTCATTACTAAATTAATCAAGCCAGTTGTGACAATGCACACTTGGTAATTTAGTATACTGTGCATACTCTTTGTAGCAAGGTGATGGGTAATTACATTGTTTATTTTGCATTCCCATACACCACAGACGCAAGCACTCGGTGCTCGCTCATTCTCTATTTTCTTCTCTCTATTTTTACTCCCCTTCTGTTCGGCACCATGCTTCAGTAATGCTCCTTCTAGTCATGCCCACACCAGGCATTTAGATGCCTTTTCCTTCCAAACAACATCCATATCCCAGATGTTTATCATTATCAGACACTAGCACCAGCAAAAGCACAGGCCATTAGAATAAAGTCACTACTGGACCATGGAGCCAACATTTCTCTATGGTTCCCATGCTTCCCTCTCATTATTCCATCGGTTGGAAGTAGTGTGTTTGGTGTGTGACGCAGATGTTCACTGCCACTAAGGCCTATTAATAGGAATCCTAGCCTTGTAGCTATATTTTCTGCATTTGTAACTCCTTGTTATTTAGATAGATATTTTGTAATACTTTATTTATATAATTTTAAATTGCCATGCTTTGCACACTAGGTAAGTAACAATAGTTAAAGATGCATATATTTCAGTAAACAGTTACAGTGTGCATGAAACAGAGCAGCGATTGAGTGTCATTTCATCCTTATCTTAGTTAAGGCAACTGTGTGTTGATACTGCCACTTTAAGGGTGCCTCACTACCGACTGTCCTTATATGGTTCTGCATCCGGTCAGGTGACAAACACAGTAGTCATATACTCTCAGAGAAATGCCTAGAAATGACTGAAAAGCGCAATTCATGCTATGTGCTGTGCATTGGGGCTGCAGTGCTTAGTTAGTGACAGGTTGTCCAGGTGGAGTGTTATGACCTTAGCATGAGCTGTGCAGTGATGAATGTGTACACTTTATACAAAGAACTCAATTAGGAAACACAGTTTTACTACAAAACGAAACACTGTTCTTTATCCTTTAAGGTCAGATTTCATTTGCCACTATGGCAAAAGTAATGTACTTTTATATCTCATATGACTATTACCTAATAAACTTTTTTTTAAAGATTCAAACCACTGCCTTTATATACATTTATATGGATGATGAACCCGCTATTGCATAGAACCACAATTTATACATTGGCTTCTGATTCAGGTGCACTCATGCTTTTTCAGTGTGTCAACAAATAGTTACATAATTACAGTCCACCTTATAATATTTTGACCACAGTGAAAATGTTTAATAATGGTGCTTGATGCTAGTTTGAGTACAAATACGCTGCTTTTAAACTTAATTACATGATATACAGTAATTCAGAACAACTGTATAAATAACAATTGATCGTAATGAATGTGTGTGTGTGTGTGTGTGTGTGTGTGTGTGTGTGTGTGTGTGTGTGTGTACGTGTGTGTGTGTGCATGTGCGTGCGTGTGTGTGTTTATATTCTTTAAGAGAACAGCCCGGACTGGGAAGAATGGTTGAAACATGTGCTTGGTCATGTGTACTATGATCAATATGCTCATCTTTTCAAGTCACTGCCTATTAGCTCCTCCTCCATGCTTTGCCCCTTGGCTTCAGATTTGGCTGCATCATATACATAGTGTAACTTTGGGCATTCTCTTTCTTTTCTCAGCAAATGTAAAATACCCCATATTATTACTGCATTTTTAATTTGTAGATAAAATCATCATTACAAATTCACAGTGTACTCATTATAAAATACTTTGTTACTTGAAGAATACTGTTCAAATACACCCAGTTGTACTGTTGTTACATTTCATTAATAATGGCTATTTACTGTTTTAATAGCAATACTTCAGTTCTACAAGCTACAGACAGGCATGTGTTCAAAATATAACTGCCACAAAAACATGAAAGCCATATAATGCTTTGCCTCTCTCTCTTTCACTCTTCCTCCACCCACTCTAAAGCCCAAGCGTGTAATCGTGTTGGTTTTATACACGTGTTGATGTCATCATTGTGAGCAGAAAAAATATTTCCATATGCTTCTTCACTGCAGCTCCACATATGTCATTCACACTATCCATGATTTTTTAGGTTTATTCTTTTAGGCTTAGGTAATGGATTTTCATTTAACAATTGTTTTATGATTAACCTGTCAGCTTATTTACCTGTTAGCTGTTAGGTGTTTGTGACTGATAATGGGGAGGCAGTTGCAACTAAGATGCTTCCTTTGGTAGCAAACATTAGCTTTTGTTTGATGTTTATATTTTTCACATGAGAGGTTTAGAACATATCAGGCTCTTATTAAGCACTTTGAGAAATAGCATTAGGAATATGTCTTGCAGGTTTCTATGAAGAGAAGGTGTCGTGGCCCCTTTAAGAGCAGCTAGTGCAGTGCTCAGTACTGTTGGTGCGGCTGCTGATGGCGGCGCAGCTCTCTGATTGGCTAGGCGAGATGCTGGAGGGATGCTGCTACTCATGCCCCCCTCCCTCCTGCCTCTCTGCCTCTTGCTCGCGCGCATCTCTCTGAATAATCCACATCTAGGGCGAGTGGCTGCGACGCGATCCAGTGCTCAGCTCCTCTCTGCAGCTGAGACAAGAGGCAGACATCCACGCAGGAGGAAAAACGTGAGCCTTTGAACTGGAACAATTAAGGGAAGATTTTCATCTGCGGATTTCATTTATTTATACATTTTGTTTATATATCTATATATATATATATATTTGTACACACGACTAAAGATATTTATATATCTATATATACATTTATCTCTGTACATATCAGTATTTGTGCTTGTCTGTTAATATTAATATTTTTATATATGTAATTGTGTGTGTAAATATATATATGATATATAAACGCCAGAATATATATATGTATGCACATATATATATAACTATATATACATTTATATGCGTATCACTGTGAACCAAGAGAAGCAAGAGGAGATTTTTATCATCGGGGCTGGTCTCTGATTGTGTGGTCGTATACAGTATTTTGAATATTTTCTTTGATCTTCTACGTCAAGAGGACAAAGACTACGTGCCCATTTTGTATTTTTGTTTCCCTGTTGCTGCTTCACATCCATCTTGATTTTTCCTTTTTCAACATCAGAGAGGAATAAAGCGAAGACACAGAGGATTTGCCAGAATAGAGAATCTGAAGACATTGCTGTGATTAGTGTTATTTCTGTGGGCATTAGTGCTGTGTGAGCTGATCACAACGCGGCTTCAATTCTGAGGAGCAGCAGCGACAGAGTGCCACGCCGCTCAGCGTCAACGCAGCCAGCATAGCCAGCATGCACAAACACCATCACTGCTGCAAGTGCCCAGAATGCTATGAAGTAACCCGAATGGCTGCCCTGCGGAGGATGGATGCCCCAGCCTATGGTGGAGACTGGCAGGCCGAACCCTATGGATACCCACCTGGCTACGGCGGAGGCCAGACCTTACCACCTCCGGCCTCAGGGGGAGGTGGGGGCATGGGAGGAGGTGGGGGCACTTTGGGTAGAAGTAAAGGCAAAATCATGTCTGGAGGGGGCCCAGGAGGCCCCAATCCTAAGGGCCAGTCCAAAGGTGCCCCTAAAGTAAATGGCAACAACTCCAGTGGGCAAGGAGGATGGTGGCCCGAGTGCACTTGCACCAACCGGGAGTGGTACGACCAGGTAACTCCTTTTTCTCATTCTCTGTGGGCTGGTAGAGAGGCTTCTATCTGATGAAGTGCTGTAGAACACACACTATTATGCATCAGCTGCTTGGGCTGTCGACCATGGGAGAGAATTCTTATTTAGTATTCGTCTGGAGTCCTATGTATCCCATTTGTAGTCCCCTTCTATTGATGCAGCAGCAGAGCGAGAAC